ATGCTTTCGTGAAAAATTGATACTGCATATGTCACTTCACTGAATCCTCATCTAACAACCCTTAGGGGTGTTACATCCCCCTTCTACAGATAAGGAAAATGAGGTTCTGCAAACACATGTTCATCACAGTGTTACGCGGTTTGGAAGCTGTAGTAGCTGGACTCAGACATGGATCTAACAGCATCCGGCATCCCAGATGAAAAGGGCTGGCGAGGCAAGTCCTGCTGTATTCAGAGCAACTATACTGACTGGCATTTTTACTCATGGCAGATTGTTTTGCTCAAGGACTTGAGCTCTTTGAGGCTTCAGTGGCAGGGGTAGAAAAGGGCATGCTCCGGGAACTGTGAATCAAGTCCTGGTCAGCCCAGGTGGGTCACTCTACACCTGACAATCTGCTTCTCACACCCACTGCAGGTTGCTAAGTCTGGGACTAGATTGTGATGTTTAGTCATTCCTGTGATATAACCTAAGACTATTTTAGCAGTTTTATTGAGGTATAATTGGCATAATAAACTATAACATTTAATTGTACAATTTACTATCTTGCCATATTTAAACACCCATGAAAGCATCACCAAAATCAAGATAAGAATATTCTTCACTCCCAAAGTGTCCTTCTGTCCCTTGATAATCACTTGTACTCTTCCTTCATGCACCACTCCTCCTACCCCCAGGCCTCCACTGCTTTCCCTTCTGTCACCAGAGATTCGTTTTCAAATGTGAGATAATAATTTGGAGATACATCTATGTGTTGCATGTATCGACACTCCATTTGTTTTTATCGATGAGTAGCATTTTGGTGTACATATATATCACAGATTGTTTCCATTCACTTGTTGATGGGCATTTGGCTTGCTTCCTGTTTTTGGCTATTACAAATGAAACTGCTATGGACATTCATATACAAGTCTCTGCGTGGACTTAAACTTTCAGTTCTTTTGCATAAACACCTGGGAGTACAGTGGCTGTGTTATAGTGTAAGTACATATTTAATTTTTAAAGGAAACTTCAAACAATTTTCAAAAGATATTAGAGCATTTACATTCCCACCCATAGTGAATAAAAGTTTCAGTTGCTTGATATTCTTGTCAAAACTTGGTAAAGTCAATTAAAAACATTTTTTAGACAATCTAACAGGTGTGTGTGTAATGGCATCTTGAGGTTCTAATTTATGTTTTCCTAAAGACTAACGATGTTGATATTCTTAATTGCCTGTATATCTTCATTTGTGAAGTGTCTGAACAAATCTTTTGCTTATTTCTTTTTAATTTGGTTGTTTGTTGTCTTATTATTGAGTTCTTCATGCATTCTGGATACAAGTCTTTTTTCAGATATGTGATCTGCAAATATTTTCTCACTGTCTCTGACTTGTGTTTTCATTATCTTAATAGTGTCTTTCAAGAGTAGAAGTTCTGAATTCAATGAACTCCAAGTTATTATTTTTTTCTTTTATGGATGATGCTGTAGTCATTGAGGAAAAATGGCCTAATCCAAGGGCATAAAGATTTTTTCTTTGGTTTTCTTCTAGAAGTTTTATAAGTTTAGGCATCATAATTGCATATATAATTCAATTTGAATTCATTTTGTATAATTCAAGCTGTGAATTAAGCATTCTTTTTTGGATACCCAATGTTCAAGCATCATTTATTGAAAAGACTGCCTTTTCTTACTAAATTGTCTTTGCACTCTTTCAAAAATTAGTTGACCATATAGGTATAGATCTACTTCTGGACCTCCTGTTCTGTTCCAGTTACAAACTTTCTCTATGTTTATACCAGTACTACATGTCCTGAAGACTGTAGTTTTATGATCAATCTTGAAGTCATGTGGTATCAGTCCACCAACTTTATTCTTTTTCAAATATATTTTTGGCTATTTTAGGTTTTTATAAATTTCCTTGTGCATTTGAATAAGCTAGTCAATTCTATTTAAAAAACACTCAAGATTTTTTTTTCAAGTTGAGATAAATCTGGATATAATTAACATCTTAGCAATATTGAGTCTTTTATTTTATAAATACAGTCTGTCCCTCTATTTAGGTCTTTTATTTCTCTCATCTGAGTGGTCAATGCTAACTGTCAGGGATCTGCAGTGACACACTCAAGTAACTACAAGAAATAAGAGAGGGATGTCTAGAGAAAACTCAGCAATCCCTTAAAGGAAAAAGGTCCATTTTGAACAGTTAACGCATGCAGAAAAACACATCCAGAGAAACCAGATTATCCTGACAGTATCACATAAAACCCTAACCAATTATTTGCTCGGCCAGACCTTGGAGAAGTCAGAAATCTCAGCTATTGGTGCAGAGATGAAGGACAATTTGGTGGTGGGAGGGGGAGTCAGAAGAAGCCAGTCACACAGAATTTGCCTCTTCAGGTACCAAACTTAAGCAACACTGATGTGGGGGAGAGAGGAAGCTTGGACTTTGCCTTTAGTTTGGAGTTTTGATTACTGCCTGAAAATGGAAATTTAAATTATTAAAGACTATTTTTGATGACTAAATATGGCTAGAGAAACTTTTACTATGTGAAAGTGATTTAAAAAAAGAGATATACTTTCAATGCTCTTGAGTAAAAACCCAGAGTGTAATCGCGACACCATGTGGGAAGTATATGTTTAACATTTTAAGAAACTGCCAAACTGTTTTCCAAAATAGTTATAACCATGTCCCATTTCTTCTGGCAGTGTATGCAAGTCTCTGGTGTTCCATGATCATTCCAATACTTGGTATGGTCAGTATTTTTAATTTTATTCATTCTAGTAAATATTTAATAGTAATTCTTTTAATTTGAATTTCCCTGGTAATGAATAATGTTGAGCATTTTCGCATTCACTTATTTGCCATCCATATATTGTCTTTAGTAAAGTGTCTATTCAAATCTTTTTCCTAATTTTTAATTTGGCGCTTTACTTATTATTGAGTTTTGAAATAAAAAAAAATATTCTGGAGGTAAATTCTTCATCACCTATAAAATACATATTTAAAGTTATTTTGTCCTAACAAAACCCCATGGGAAGGGTAGTATTACACACATCTTGTATGTGAAGAGATGGAGACTCAGAGGAGTAAGTCATGTTTCCAGGTTAAAAGTGGGGAATCTGAGGTTTGCACTTGGAGGCCATACTTTTGCCATGTCATTACAAAACGTACCTGCAACGAACATAAAGAGAAGTTGGAAAAATGAGAGCAGAAGAAGGAAAGAAAGGATAAACTCAGTGAATCTTCAGCCAACCGAAACATCTTTAATGCCATAAAGATACATTTTAAAACTATTTTCTAACATTAGTTGCTATTTCTAATAATACAAAGGTATTATACAAGTATCCCATAGGGAGTTTTCCATGTGCTGTAGTGTATGTTATCTCAAATTTTTGGAAATGAAAAACAAATGCAAAAACATCACATTTTATAGAGAATGTATAAAAAAACCTATGTCATGTGTAAAGTCTAACATAAATATTACAACATTTTAGATATAGCAGTACATTCTGGCCCCTACACCTCAAAAAGTCTATTGGCCATCATTCATTTTCACTTCAGTGTCACATTGCAAGTAATGTTTTGTTTCTGTTCTTGGGAGAGGTAGAAATCTCAATGGAGGCATTTATATTGTCTTCATGCTGAGTTCTTACTGAGCCTAACCATGAGGAAATGACAAAGAGACTTTTTTTCTTTAATTCCCATATACTATATTTCATTTTGTGGCTTCCAGTTACAATTCATATCTCAAGATCAAAAATTTGAAATATTTTCTATTAAATTAAAATGCATCCTGCCTAAAGTGAGGTTCATATTATTCTATGAAATTGGCAACTTTTATTTGAACAGAGTTCAAAGTAAGTAAAATTTGTCATCCTTTTTGTTGTTGTTGATATTCCTTGAAAACTCAATATTCAGTACTGATCCAATAGTAGTATATTTTTTGAAACATATATTATATGTAAAGGATTTGACTAATTCTTGCTAGTCCATTTTTGGAAAAGTCATGTTTGACAGAAACCAAATGTTAAAAGTGTAGTCTATTTCTAAAGATCATACAAAATAAAATTATACAGATTAATGTCAAACCAAAGAAAAGAAATTACATCAAGAACTTATATCTACAGGAATTAAATGTAAGGGAATGGTTACACAACAAATGAAAGGATGACAGTTCCTAATGGAGTGGTGAAAAGTCCAGAAACTAGCCATGGAAGGAGGCCTGCCCCATCTACAGAGGGAGGAGAGGGTGTTATTGGAACCCAAGTGTTGTCTCCCTGTTCCCTCCAGCCTCCCTACCAACCGCAATAGACCATGGAAGTGATACAAGGAAAGGGAGAAATACCCTGGCTTCTCCCTACCTCTCCATTGCCCAGCGGCCTCCCATTGGCTGAAGAGAGAGAGAGAGATAGAACCATTGATGAGAGAGAAGCATTGACCAACTGCCTCCTGCATGCTCCCTACTGGGGATCAAACCCAGAACCCAGGTATGTGTCAAAGCAGGAATCAAACTGGTGATCTCATGGTTCATGGACTGATGTTCAATCAGTGAGCTACACTGGCCGGGCAGTTATGCATTTCTTAATAAAACTAGAATAAAAGAAATACCCACCATATTCACACTAGGGTATAAAATAACAGCTTTTATAGTCATCTTATAAAATCTTTTTTAAAGATAATTTCTTTCTAGTGTAAAGAAAAAAGAGAGCACCAGCTGTCTCTTTTGACTGTTGAAAAGGTAAGTTGTGAAATAAAACCTTTAATACAGCATATGGTCAAAACAAGGTAAACAATAAATGTTCTTATTTTGTTGCCTTTTATGTTTAGTCTTTCGAAATTCTTACCTTTTCGAAGTCAATAGTATCATCTAGATTCCACAATAAGTGTCTTGGATATAAAGTAAAAATAACTTGTCCTAATTATGGCAACCAACTGAGTCAAGTCAATATTATTAGGGTTTCCCAAACTTCTGGTTTAGAGATTTAATGCCGTCTCCATAAAACTGTGCAAACAGAGACAGCCTCTCTTCCTGCGCTGTGCCAGCAGCCACAACCCTGAGACACGATGGTGAATGTTGGGGTGAACGGATTTGGCCGCATTGGGCGCCTGGTCACCAGGGCTGCTTTTAACTCTGGCAAAGTGAATATTGTCGCCATCAATGACCCCTTCATTGACCTCAACTACACGGTCTACATGTTCCAGTAGGATTCTACTCATGGCAAGTTCAAAGGCACAGTCAAGGCTGAGAACAGGAAGCTTGTCATCAATGGGAAGTCCATCTCCATCTTCCAGGAGCAAGATCCCGCCAACATCAAATGGGGTGATGCTGGTGCTGAGTATGTTGTGGAGTCCACCGGTGTCTTCACTACCACAGAGAAGGCTGGGGCTCACTTGAAGGGCAGAGCCAAGAGGGTCATCATCTCTGTCCCTTCTGTGGATGCCCCCATGTTTGTGATGGGTGTGAACCATGACAAGTATGACAACTCCCTTGAGATTGTCAGCAATGCCTCCTGCACTACCAACTGCTTGGCCCCCCTGGCCAAGGTCATCCATGACAACTTTGGCATCATGGAGGGACTCATGACCACAGTCCATGCCATCACCACCACCCAGAAGACCAAGGATGGCCCTCTGGGAAGCTGTAGGGTGATGGCTGAGGGGCTTCCCAGAACATCATCCCTGCTTCTACTGCAGTGGTTCTCAACCTGTGGGTTGCGACCCCTTTGGGGGTCGAACGACCCTTTCACAGGGGTCGCCTAAGACCATCGGAAAACACATATATAATTACATATTGTTTTTGTGATTAATCACTATGCTTTAATTATGTTCAATTTGTAACAATGAAAATACATCCTGCATATCAGATATTTACATTACGATTCATAACAGTAGCAAAATTACAGTTATGAAGTAGCAACAAATCTGTGTCTCCACTCCCAATGTGTCAGTTGTGGATCTGACCTGCCGCCTGGAGAAAGCTGCCAAATACGATGATATCAAGAAGGTAGTGAAGCAGGCGTCAGAGGGCCCCCTCAAGGGCATCCTGGGCTCTACTGAGGACCAGGTTGTCTCCTGTGACTTTAGCAGTGATACCCACTCCTCCAACAAGAAGGTAGTGAAACAGACATCAGAGGGCCCCCTCAGGGCATCCTGGGCTCTACTGAGGACCAGGTGGTCTCCTGTGACTTTAGCAGTGATACCCACTCCTCCACCTTTGATGCTGGGGCTGGCATTGCTCTCAATGACCACTTTGTCAAGCTCATTTCCTGGTATGACCATGAATTTGACTACAGTAACAGGGTGTTGGACCTTATGGTCCACATGGCCTCCAAGAAGTAGGAGTCCCCTGGACCACCAACTCAGCAAGAGGAAGAGAGACCCTCAGCTGCTGGGGAGTCCTTGTCCCAGATTGATCCCTGACACACTGAAAATCTCCTGACCACTGTTTCCACCCCAGTCCACCTGAAGAAAGGGAGGGGCGCAGGGAGCCCTACTTTGTCATGCACCATCCATAAAGTTCACTGTACCCACCCAAAAAAAGAAAAAAAAACCCTGTGAAAACAACCCAGAGAGGGCTTAGAACTGGGAGGAACCTGTGGGACCATCAACCTATCACTCACACAGGAAAGTGTTTCTCCCTAAAATATTGCTTACAAGTGTGGCCGTTTAGTTTTAAATGGAATTTCATTCCAATTTCTAGGCAAGCCGCCCTGGTCCTTATTCCCAGTCTCTCTCTAGAGCTCTTGACGAAGAGCCATATTTCAACACATTAAATAAAGAATCGTCTAATGCAAACTGTGCTACTCTAATTCCCATTGAAACTCCATTAAGCAAAGAAAAGCTGTCAAGTATAAAATCTGCTGATCCTTAGGGATGACTTGAAGGACATTTTCCCTTTAATGGCTTCAGGCTTTGCCAAGCCATAACTCACTGATATTTCTGTCAACAGCTTCATCAGGGTGTGTGTTTGACTTTCCTGAAAATGACATGATGGCAACTTTCTGTACTATGCAAAGTTATTGCCTTGAAGCCTCCATGTGGGAAAACAAAAGCTTTTAGTCTAGTCTGCTGTGAAAGAAGGCATTAGAGAACTTGGCTCCTGTGTCACAATAAACATTTTTGCTTCTGAAGAAAGTTCAGGACTGAACCAGAGAGCTGAAAGCTTTTAATCACCAGAAACTGTAGTAATCCCCCTAAAGTGCTTTTCTTGGATTGCTCTTGTAGCATTAAGGAATTGAATTTACTAATAAAAGTCTAGTAGGTTTCCAGAGTTAACGAAGACCGAAATTATTGATATAGGAAGAGAAGAAAGGGACTAGATTTGTTCTTATTTATTTTTCACCTTTTAAAATATTGTAGGAAACACTGTTTTATATGTTGTCTACCTACAAACCTAAAAGAAATAGCCCTAACCAGTTTGGTTCAGTGGATAGAGCATCGGCCTGCAGACTGAAGGGTCCCGGGTTCAATCCCCAGTGTGGGGCGTGCAGGAGGCAGTCAATAAATGATTTTCTCTCATCATTGATGATTGATGTTTCTATCTCTCTCTCCCTCTCCCTCTCTGAAATCAATAAAAATATTTAAAAAATAAAAGAAATATATCCCCTTACTTCACTAGAGAGTGGAATTAATTAAATTAACATGGAATGAAACTTTACATGTAAAAAATTTACA